ACGAGCAAATGAGGGTCATCATACTGATGCTCCCTGATACGATCAAATAAGGAAGACCGAGAGACCACGAAAGCTAGAACCCGACTGGGTTCCAAAAGATACAATCTCACAAACTGGCTGGCTAAGGCTTGAACATCCATCACCATAGGCCTCTCCGTTGCTGGTAAATAAGCCAAACTCCCCAAACTCTCCGCCCGATGACTCAAAGCATCGGCCACCACATTGGCCTTGCCCGAGTGATACAAGATAGTGATATCATAGTCCTTCAGCAGCTCTAACCACCTCCTCTAGCGCAAATTAATATCCTTTTGCCTGAACAAATGCTGCAAACTCCGATGATTAGTATAAATCTCACAAGGCACACCGTACAAATAATGACGCTAGATATTCAAGGCGTGGACAATAGCAGCTAACTCGAGATCATGGACAGGATAATTCTTCTCATTACCTTCAACTGTCTGGATGCGTAGGCAATCACCCTACCGTCCTGCATCAATACCTCTCCAAGGCCAATCCTCGAGGAATCAAAATAGACAGTATAAGACCCCGCACCTGTAGGCAATATCAAAACTGGGGTTGTAGTCAAATTTGTATTGAGCTTCTGGAAGCTCGCCTCACACTCTTCCGTACACTAGAACGGAGCACCCTTATGGGTCAGCCTGGTCATAGGTGAAAAAATAGATGAAAATCCCTCAACAAATTGAAGGTAATAATATGCCAAGGCAAGAAAACTACAGATCTCTGTAGTTGAGGATGGTCTGGGCCAGCTCTGCACTGCTTCCACTTTCTTCGGATCCACCTGTATACCCTTACTCGATACCACGTTACCCAAGAATGCCATGGAATCCAGCCAAAACTCACATTTCGAGAACTTTGCATATAACTTCTTTTCCCTCAAAGTCTAAAGCACTGTCCTCAGGTGCTGCTCATGATCCTTCCAACTCCGGGAGTATACCAAAATATCATCAATAAAGACAATGACGAACGAGTCAAGATATGTCCAAAACATACTGTTTATCAAATGCATGAAGGCTGTTGGGGCATTGGTCAGCCTAAATGACATAACAAGGAACTCGTAATGACCATACCGAGTCCTGAAAGCAGTCTTTGGGATATCTGGCTCCCGAATCTTCAACTGAGGCTAACCTGAACGCAAGTCAATCTTAGAAAACAGTCGTGCACCTTGTAACTGGTCAAACAGATCATCAATACGAGGCAAATGATATTGGTTCTTCACTGTAACTTTATTCAACCTGCGATAATCAATGCACATACGCATACAACCATCCTTTTTTCTTCACAAACAAGACAGGAATACCCCAAGGTGATACACTAGGCCGAATAAAACCCTTATCAAGAAATTCCTGTAACTGGTCCTTCAACTCAGGAGGAGCTATACAGTACGGAGGAATAGAAATGGGATGAGTGCCCGGCAACATATCAATGCCAAAATTAATATCTCTGTCCGGTGGCATACCCTAAAGATCAGCTGGAAACACATCAGGGAAGTCCTGTACTACTAGGACTGAATCAACTGTAGGGGTATCAACACTAACATCTCCCACATAGGCCAGATACACGTCACACCCCTTCTCAACCATTCGTTGAGCTTTAAGGAAAGAAATAACTCTATTGGGAGTATGATCTAAAGAACCCCTCCACTCTACTCGTGGTACACCTGGCACAGCCAGCATCACGGTTTTGGCATGATAATCAAAAATAGCATAATGGGGAGACAATTAGTCCATGCCCAAGATAACATCAAAATCTACCATGCTGAGCAATAATAAATCGGCTATGGTCTCAAAACCACTAAGAGCAACCAAACACGACCGATAAACGTGGTCCACAATAAGAGAATCTCCCATAGGAGTAGAAACATAAACAAGGGAACTCAAAGAATCCCGAGATACACCCAAATGCGGGGCAAAATAAGAAGACACATAAGAATAGGTGGAGCCTAGATCGAATAAAACCGATGCATCTCTATGACAAACCAGGACAATACCTGTGATGAAAGAATCAGAGGCGACAGCCTCGGTACGGGCAGGAAGGGCAAAATATCTGGTCTGGCCTCCCCCTCTAGGGCGACCTCTACCTCCCCAACCTCTACCTCTGGCTGGCTGGGCAGGTGAGGTAGCAACTGGTGTTGAAATCATAGCCTGGGAATTCTCCGGAGCACACTGTGGCTGAGAAGTCTATGGAGGTGCACCCCTCCCTAGTCTAGGGCAATCTCTCACCACATGGCATGTGTCGCCACACTCAAAACAACCTCGCTGTTGACGTAGCTGTGGGAAATGTGTGGTAGGGTACTTTGAGTCCTACTTAATGTGAGTTTCACACATAGATTATGGGTAGATTTTAACATGTAATTTATGGAATTCATGGGTTAGATGGAAAACCTAGGTTTTTGATAAAAATGAGATTTAACCAAGAAATTTTGTTATGGAATTTGACAAAAATCATATATTTGGGTTCATGAGGTTATGGATAACAACTTTCTTCGAAAATTTCCGGAATCCGGGCACATGGGCCCGGGGGTGAATTTTAGGAACTTTACATTTAGGGTTAGGTAATTACTTAAATAGTTAGAATATGAACTTTTGAGCATATATTGATTAGTTTATATACTATTTGAATAGTTTTGGATTGTTTGGCACCGATTTGAGGGTTTGAGCATAATCTGGGACCGGAAAGTAGGCCTTGAGACGAGGTAAGTCTCTTTTCTAACCTTGTAAGAGGGATTTTACCCCATAGGTGAATTAAATAAATATGTGTACCTACTTGGGGGGCTACGTACATACGAGGTGACAAGAGTCCGTACGTAGCTACTAATCATGCTAATGTTCGGGTAGTCTAGGACCTGTATCATGCTATACTTGAAATGTTTGTGCCCTTACTTGTTAATTTAATTGCTTAAGTTATGTTGGAATTTGATAAAAGAATTGTAAAAGGTTAAATTCACTTACTTGAAGTTGTGAAGGGAATACTTGGCTGTAAATGAGAAATTTGTATTTTCTTTAAAAAAAATATTTGCTATTATGGAGCGGGTCGAACGCCTCGATTGTAGATAGATGCATCTATGGTTCGTGTCTTTCGACCCTCGACAATGAACATTTAAATACTATGTTGGATCGGGCCGTACGACCTCGGCATAACTTGTACATGAAAATTCTTTGGAACTATTCATAATTGATATTGCTTAAATGTCTTGAAATGCAAGTTGTTAAATGATAAAATTAAACTAAAAATAATTGACAAATGTATGATATGCGTATAACTATTATATAATATATAACCATATATAATTAATGTATAATTTATGTAAATCAGCTAAAAACAGTGAATCTGACTCACTATTTGTGTAAAGATCACGTAACTCTAATGGACAATCCAACCAGAGAGAGGTAGCACTCTGATCTAAATTACATTACAACCAGATTGTGCATTAGCCTTAGCCCAAAGTCTTTCGGTAACGTTTGGTCGTGAAAAACTTAAAACCCAATATTGCAATTGGACTGGAATCCAAAAATTGGGTTTGCATCAAACTGAGCTATAAAATCGGGTTATTTTCTGACTAACTAACTGTGATTTAATTGGCACGGAGATTGATCAGGGATCTTCCAAGCCTCACGTCGTACACCATCTGTTCGACGATTTGATTCAAAGAGACTTCAGATTTTCATATATCTGTCAATCGCTCTTTGTCCACTCATATTTAATAAATTTTGTTAGTGGGTTCACTTAACCACATTCAGCGTCCTTATTTTCTGCCTTATTATCATTTTGTGTTGCCTTTGAACACGGGCGTCTCCATAAAATCAGTGGCCTAAAACTAAATTTTAATAAGAGACCTTATACATTTTTTATTAGTATATACACACATATATGTAGAAAAAAGTTAGTGTTGGCATTTTTTTCATACTTGTTATTTATAGTATAACATTCTTAAATAATAAAACCATTTAACTTCACATAATAGTATTATTATATATATTAGTAAGAGGTAACTTAAATAAATAAGATGTTAGACATGCATTTTTAATATGTTACCTTTGATATTGTTGTTAAAAAAATATTTACTAATATGAAGATTTAAGTAATTTAATTCAAAATTCTAAAATATTTTTAGTGTTAAAGAGTTGATAATCTTTCTTTCTTTCTTTTGTTCAATGTTTTTTGTACTTTTTTTGGCAAACTTTAATATTGCCTAACTTGAAATAAAATCACAAAATCCATTATTAAGAAATTTTGGAAATCTAAATCAAAGCTTTACTAATCTCCTACTTGAGCATTCTCAATCAAATTTTATAGAGTCTCAATTAAGATAAAATAACAATCAGTGAATGTGTTATTTAGTTACCAGATATGAATGAAGCTGGTTGAGTAACATGTTCATAGGACAGTGATCTATAAATACTTGTTGATAATTAATCAGCGCGGCTCAACGCAACTGGTGGCTTAAAACTAAACTATATTAAAAGACCCTAAAATTTATTTCATAAAATCCATATAATATTGAGACAAAAAAATGTGTGAGAGAACAACATATAATATGTGGGTTAGGCGTACGTTATATGATATTGATCTCTCCCCTATAAAAAAAATATAGTATTAAGTGAAAATGGTAACAGAGTTGAGCCCATAATCGATCTTGTTTTGAACCTTATGACACTTGTCTTGGAGATTTCTTAGTTATAAAAATTGAGACACAAAAGAACTTGCTTTCTGATGTGTGGATCAATCAAATGTGACAAAAAAGAATAGCCAATTTAGAGAATTTGAGTTGAAATTAATATGAAAAAAGAAAGAAAGAAAATATAATTGACGAGAAGATAAATATATTATTTAATTTAGCAAGAGAAATTTTTTATCTTATTAACTCATTCAATCCTACCTCTATCAAATTTTAAAATATTTTATTAATAATTGTATAAATATAAATTACATATATAATATAATAATATAGCTTTGGGCCTTAAATATTTGAGGGCATAAGGCACAAGCTTGATTTGGTTTACCCTAGAGCCGCCCTTGCCTTTGAAGTTTGAGAAAGATGCTTATAAAACGTATCCTTTCATTTTCTATTTCTTCATATGGCTTCTCATCGTTGTCCACCTGCTCGAATTTGTTAAAAAGCATTTTAAAGCAAGCAAGAACATTTTCAGATGCTGATATTATTGAGTATACCAAGCTGACACACGACGCCAATCCATTGCATTTTGATGCTGAATGCGCCAAAAATGCTGGTTTTAGTGACCGCCTTGTTCCTGGGATGCTTGTCGCTTCCTTATTTCCTAGGATTATTGCTGCTCATTTTGTAAGTTCTACGTTCCTCAATCCTGTCCCGATGTTTCAATAGACTTCTCTTAAGAACTTCAAAATTTAATTTTTATAAAAGAATTTTACACTATTTGTAGCTGTATGTAGTCATAGTGGATTAGTTACCTGAAAATAATGGTTAAATGATATGTTACAACAATTAAACTACACGTTAGCGTATATCTAATTTAAATCCAAAACTTTGTAATACTTAGCCACGACTTTAATAGTCATAGAATGGCGAGATAAAAGTCAAGTAGAAGCAGAGGCATCCAAGTTGAGGGATATGGGTTCTCCTCCTCCTAAACCATGTATAACAATGTTATATTTCTTCAAAATTTCTTAAATATAGGTGCGCAAACCCATGCTCAAAGACTCTTATGGCCCAATTATTATTGGGTGTAGCTCTACAAGTGAAATTGACAGTTCAAAATTTCAAATCATACTCTGAACGGTCTTGTGAGTATATACATATATGTATATATTATTAAAATTTCAAAAAGAATATAATTTTGAATCTGTAATTTCAAAAGTTTAGTGGATTCATGGTAAGAGACTAAAGTTAAACCCGTCAAGTGTAAATTCTAGATCCACCTCTTCACAATTGTGTACCCATCCTCTTGAAATCCGTAGAAGTTAAAGTGTTAGTTGTTCATGTCGAAAAGAAGGTACATAACCTACTAAAATCAGTTAACCTACACCGATAGCTTAACAGATCCTTAAACTTTTGTGTATATAATTTAATAGTAAATATGATGATATCAACATTTTTTAAAGTAGCTAAATATGCAACATTGAATGGGGAAGGTGCTATTTAGATCTGGTTTTAAATTGGAAAATTCTTCTAGCTATTGTTGTTTGGTAATTTCTCCAGCCAGGAGCTGTATATGTTTCACAAACCTTGCACTTCAAATTACCTGTTTATATTGGAGATGAGATCATTGCTGAGGTACAAGCATCAAGTGTTAGACACATGAAAAACAAGTACATGTAAGTAGCTCTTGGCTGAAGATTTATGGTTGGATACCATATTTTGTGGCTCCTAATTGCATTGGTCTCTTTGGTCCAGCGTGAAACTGTCAACAAAATGTTTCAAATGTGATGGTCCTCTGGTAATTGATGGTGAGGCAACAGCAATTTTACCATCTCTGGTCATGGAACCAACAAGTACTTCCAGCTGATCGGAAAAACCTTTGCTTGTCTGCTAAAGTCTCCTAAAATACTAGCAGCCTGCATAGTTGTCTGCTTACTATTAAGAAATACATAGGGAATAATTGCAAGTTTGCAACCTCGATGATAGAATTTGATGTCATTCAGTTCAGAGCCTTTAGGTCAAGTCACCAGTTAGCACTGTTCTGAGCCTTTTGGTTAAGTCACCAGTTAGCACTTGAGCATGAAAGCGATTGAGCTGTAAAATCTTATTAGTACTCTCTATTCTGTTTTATTTCACCTTCCTTTCTAGTTTATTCTGAAAAAATTTACTTGTATATTTCTATAATTGTAAGCTTCTAACTTTAAAACTTTTCATTTACCTTTAATAACAAGTTATTATAGCTACAGAAATATTGTGACATATTTAAGACTACAAGTTCTAAGGGTATGGCGTCTTTTTTTTTTTTTTTTTTTTTTTTTTAACCTTCGTGTCCAGTGAAACACCACTTAATAAAATGAAGTAAAGAGAGTATTGGATTTTTGTTCTTTTCTGTGGAAGATTTTGGTAATGCCCTAAAGATACTTTGTTCTGCAGAGTAAGAACACACTATTTTGAGATTTGTTTCACCAAAATAACAGGGAAAAAAGATAAGAGATTGCTATTTGAAGAAATGAAGTAGACGGGAAAGGAGATAAACACAAAAATATGAAGGAAAATTAATTTACTTGCATGGGGTTGCATAACCAATATCAATTTGTCAATTGTTAAATTAACCTGATCTAGTGTAAAGACCCGGAGGAAGTAAATTTCACCCCACAGGAGCCCTTAATGCAATGCACTAGCACAAAGCGCCTTGGTAAGACTGTCAACAGAATTGCAAAGTGGACTGGTCAAAGAAACAAGTAAAACCAAAGAAGAAAACCCCATGGTAAATGACTGAAAAGTTTATTCATCCTAAAGAGAAGAAGTTTCAGCTAGTCCTAGCAAACAATGTACTTTTTAATATGAGCTTATGCCATCCAGAAACTGAAAGCCAGCTGAAATTCAAATGGTCTTTATCTTTTAATCCTTCAAGCATTGTCAACACTAATCTCTGCCCTAACAGGGCACATTTGAGTAACTGAACATTGCCAAAAATTCCTAACTACTACTGTATAAGCATGGGTTAGATTACATGGGAAGTCCTTGTGGAGGAGCAAATGCAAGTGCTTTAGGCGTGTGCTTGTCCACGACAATGGCTTGCGTAGTGAGTTCCACCACCCGAACTGATCTGTTACTATCACTATATGTTCCCAATTAGATTGTGTCCAAGAGGTATGCTCAGCCCCTAATACATTGCAAGTTCTTGATCCTCCAGAGGATAATGAGTTGGTTGGCTGTTAGTATACCCTCTTAGTGTTAGCGATATAGCACAACTCCATTTTGCTATAGAAGGGTTGCTAGTGCCTACTAAGTCAAGTGACACTATTCAGCTGATTCTCTAGCTCAGATTACTTTAAAACCCGAATTTCTCCAATCGAACAGATTATGATTTGAAGTTCTAGAATACAGTTATTAGCTTGCCAGTCAAGTATATTGGGAATCGTTACATACTTACATTGCCATAAATGACTTACTCAAGGTGCCATAATAATATAATAGGTACCCACAACTTCAACTTCAACACATCCCCACAAAAATAGAATGAATAAAATGAAAGATTTCTCAATAGGAGTAAATTGAAAATAATTTACCTTCTGCACAATGTCAGCCCCCAACTTCTCATCTGGATCTTCAAGATTGTCCTTAATGGCATGGACATAAGTTGACAGATGAACCAAAGCAGCACCACCACCAGGTACGATTCCCTATTCAACTGCAGCAAAAGTTGCATGTTTCGCATCCTCAATTCGAAGCTTGCGGTCCTCGAGCTCAGCTTCTGTTGCAGCTCCAACCTTTATGACAGCAACACCTCCAGACAACTTGGCAATTCCCTCAGCAAGTTTTTCCGAGCCAGATATTGAATCGGTCATGTCCAACTCCTTCTTAAGCTGAGAAATCCTAGCCTGTATCTCGTCCTTTGGCGCATCATCAGCAAGAATGGTTGTTGAGTCCTTGGAGATAGTCACCTTTCTAGCAAAACCTAATGCTTCAACTGGGGTATTCTCAACAAGCATACCCAAATCAGTTGCCTGGTACTCCCCTCCTGATAGTATATACAAGCAGCACGTCAGAAATATTTCCTTTGTAAGGTAGACACATTTGAGACTAGAGTGCTTGATACAAGAATCCAATCTACTATCAAAGAAAACTACAAAGGATAGTAGTACTAATCAGATCTACTTAAAACAGAATTGCACAAATAAGCTGAAGCGGAAAATCGTATAAATCCAAGGAGAGTGAAATTAAGCATTATCTAAGAATTGTGTTGGCTTAACATCCCACCAGTATCAGCGATAACTTCCTCCTTTCGTCCTCAAACACACATTCAATATAGAAAAGAAAGAAAGAAAAAGCAAGAGAGAAAAAAATACTATAGTGCCTCCATTTATCTAATTCAAAATTTTTTTGTGACAATTACCTAGTTCTAGATTCTGCCTGTAAAAACACAAACAGCTTCGAAACTAGTTTACTTAACAAATTTGTGGGAAGTGGTACAATTAAGTCGAGCAAGTTGGACTACCTGTTACAATGGCAATATCTTGGAGAAGAGCTTTCCTCCTTTGCCCAAAACCAGGTGCTCTGATGGCAGCAACGTTCAGTACACCTCGCTGCTTGTTCACAACAAGAGTAGCCAAAGCTTCTCCAGTTACGTCTCCAGCAATAATGAGCAGATGGCTCGTAATTCAGTTGACTTCTCCAGGAGGGGCATAATATCCTTGATTGCTGAAATCTCCTGATCCGTAACCAGCACTCTAGCATTCTCAAATTCAACAATTAATTTCTCCTGGTTGGTCATGAATTGTGGGGAGATATATCCCTTATCAATCTGCAAATGACGGAGCAAAGTGTGTGTTAGAGTTAGAATATTTGATAACCCTCATTCTCAACTCAGAACCCACGTCATCTAAACCTTGGATCTACCACTGATTACAGGTGAACTACAGTAGAGATATAGAAAAAACAGTAGAGAACACATTCTCGTCTAAGTAGGCACATACCTCCATTCCCTCTTCAACATGAACAGTTGTTTCAAAGGAAGAGGATGACTCGATTGTTAGAACACCATCAGGACCAACTTTGTCAATTGCATCAGCAATCATGGTTCCAATTTCATCATCATTTCCAGCAGATATAGAAGCAATAGCTGGCGGAAAGACAACTATTTGCAAAATGTTAATTGCCATCCATTATAGAAGGTTTAAAGGACAGAGTTAACAACAAAAGCAGTAGAATAAATTACCTTTGATCTCATCACGACCTTTAACAGGCCTAGCCCTCCTTTCTAGCATTTCAATCAAAACGTTTACAGTTTTGTCGATGCCCTTCTTCAGAGATACTGGATTTGCACCAGATGTAACACTTAATAAACCACGTTTAATGATTTCCCTGGCAAGAACTGATGCAGTTGTGGTCCCATCACCAGCAGAATCATTGGTTAGGCTTGCAACCTTCACCATAATAAATTTGGAAAAATCAGATCCACAAATCCAGGAATACAGTAAATATGACAATTGTTCTTAAACTGTCTGTCGATAGAACAATTAACCAAATTCAGGACAGATTTAACAATGATCTTCAAGTATCCCCAAATGACCAACCTCTCTGATAAGGGCGGCACCTGCATTTTCCATAGCATCAGGTAGCTCTATGGCTCGAGCAATTGTGACTCCATCATTAACCACCTTTGGGGTATCATAGTCATCTAAAACCACATTCCTCCCTATAGGAAAGTAAACAGATGACTATGAGTTAAAATGCACTAATTGCAGCACTGCTGGAGGAGACACATATAACATTGATACATCTGTTAAATGTCTTATGTTTAAAGACTTATTGTCCACATGTATGGTCATCAATTCTCTGCTTCAGTTCACTCCCTCCCTTAAACGCACCACATAATAATCAACTAGATACACTAAGCGAACTACGAGACAGAATAAATCTATAGCTCTAGTTGTGGGCATGTTACAAAGAATCCAACAAATAATCAGGTCGGACTTATTATCTGCCTCAATCATATATAGCTCGCTATGAAATGAAAGAAATGGCTCATAGAGAGAAAGTAAAAGAAGTTAAGTTATCATATTGGGTTTCAAACCATAAGATATCAAAATATGAACTACACTTAAATCCCAAGTTAATTGGGTGATTATATGAAATTCATCTTAGTTTGACTACTTTAACTCTTGTCATCAACCTGCTGGCATGGGTTACTTTGCAGATGTGGTTGGTTCCAACTTCAAAACTTCCAACCTCCATATAAACAATACTATTAAAAAAGAAAGCTTAAATTGATCTGCAAGACAAAGATGAAGCAGAGGGAACATACCCTTAGGACCAAGAGTGAGACCAACAACATCAACGAGCTTATCAATACCAGCCTGAAGGGCACGTCTTGGTTTCTGGTCATATGCGATTTCTTTAGCATTTGCCCTTACTATAAACCGGCTCTTTGAAGCCTTGTTATTGATAGGACCAAACCTGTTGTTGTATATGAAAGTAGACAAAACAAAAGAAAGAAAAATCAAAAAGAGATGAAAATATGATGTAAGCGCTTACATCGACATTCTTATGATGTAAGCGTTTACCTCAGCATTCTTATGATGTAAGCGCTTACCTCGGCAGGGCATTCAAATGCCTATAAATAGGGGTCTACATTTTCATTTGTAGAACATTCCAAAACTTCTTCTTTCTCTCTTCAATTAATAAAGAGCTATTCTTTGTGTGGCCGTGGAGTAGGCAAAAATTGCCGAACCACGTAAATCTTGTCTTGTCTTGTCTTGTGCAATTTATTGTTTCTCTCCTAAATATCCTTTTCCTTCTAT